GCTAAAAGCAGTCACACAGTGGCTAGACCTATTAGATTTTATCAATTATATACATTATGAATAACCGATTCAATTTTATACACTCAAATATACACATATTAGAGTCTCAGTAATATATAGGTTTCTTATCTAAAAGATTCAAAGGCATTTTTGCTCGTGCAAGTTGTCATAGTTGATTAGAAGCGTGGAATAAGTTATGGATATGAGAAAAAATAAATATATATCAAGATTAGAATTATGTTTTATATGAGCCAATCAAGTTCCCTTTGCCTATTTTTTGCAGACCGAACAAACCACCCAAGCCAAAGTACTGAGCCACTAGCAACGGTGATCATGCCCTTTCAAAAACACAACATACAAAGTCAGAGGCCCCATCATCAAGAGGTGAAAACTCAAGCGAAATTTTTTGCATAACTATGCATACCCGTAAACAAGTAACCTGGGTGGTCATTCTATCAACACAAAAGCAATTCAACATAAATTAACAAATTTGAAATGCAATACATACCCGGTTCAGGTCGAATATAACTTTACTAATCGATGACAGTATGGTAAGGTTAAATTTTGTTTATAATTTTTTCTGGTAGATACATTCAATCACTCTTTGTGGTGTGGTTCGGTTGTTTAGGAAGTCTGCGTCACCTTCCTCCTTACACACGCCCCACATTGAGGATAACGATCGCGCCCAAGATAAAGAAAAATAGCATGTTTATATAAGTTTCGAGGTGGATATATTTGAACTATTTCTCATCTCGTAGCTCAGTGGACTAAACCGCGGGAAGCTTGTTCGGTCTTCCTCTCCTTACTATGTAGACAATTATAGTGACGATCACGCCCTCTAAGATTGGGTTTATAAGCAGGGAAAAAAATAAATTGTGGGGAGGTAACAGTCGGATCCCGGGCCTGCTTTGAAAAGCAATGACTGCACCTGAGAAGATTATGCATAGTCAGAGGCCCTATCGCTTCTATAACAGAAACGAAATTTTTTGCTTGACTAAGTATACCCGTACAAATAGCTCCAGCAACTGTCTTATCAACACAAAAACAATCTATCTAGTGTAAGAAAGTGAAATGTATAATATCGGTAAAAAATTACTCGAGGGCTTTTATATCGATGTTATATGGCTATGAAACCATGCCATATTTGATTGTAAATAATTCAACATCTCAGGTATGTACATACGTGTTGTAGTTCTATTTTAACACAATAAATTATGCAAGATCGGTTTCAAGATTAACACGTATAAAAATAAAACTGTATCGGTATTAGGATTTAGGCTGTGGGACTAGTTTGCATAATAAACATTTGGAATAAAAAAAGGATTATCGCTATATCGTACATGTACGTACATGAAAATAAGATAATGATAACAAATAAGCCATAAATATTTAATCATTGTAAGTTTATATAGCACAGCCGTCTCATAAACAATTTTTCGAATTTGCTTACTACTAGCCCGAAAATAGAAGCTTCATAATCACGATCGAAATAAATCAAAAAAAATCGCTGGAAAAAAATGGTGCGTGTATGATAATAACGATAGCGATAAAACCTTGACCGGCTTTAATAATCAATGGCCAGCATTAGCCGAAGACTTGCTCACGCTAAATTTATGCGGTGTTACCTTAATGCATAATTCTTCCCCAACGTCGATTTTTTAACCGTTAACCAATTTTACGAATAATAGACCATGCTTTTCTTATTACATAAGATCCCACGATAAGAATGGGACTCTGCGAAGCAGGGATGCTTTGCATCCTAAAAAGGCTATAAGGGTAACGAGTATAACGTTCTTAATCAGTGGTTTTGTCAAAATTCATATGTTGCAGGAACTCGGAATCTCCCTGTATTTTAAAATGAAATTTTGAGTTTAGCACCTCGGGCTCGTGATAAAAATAGTTTACTATTTATAGCACTAATTAACACGTCCATTTGTGCATGTGACGCAATAAGTTAATCATAGCTATAAATAGTAAACTATTTGCGTCCTAAAGACACGTTCAAGTCGTGGAGTCCGATCATACATTTAAACCCCCAGAATTTCAAATGCAAATATGCCTATATCCACACTTATGGATTTTTATCGTTATACCACATTTATAGACTGGACGTGTGCAAATATTGTAGAACATTATCGTGATAAGCTAGAACGAAAAGATTGGGAATATGTACTTGATAAAATAAAGAAGGATCTTCGAGACATCACAGCTTCAGAATCTGGGTTTAGCGTCATGCACAAAAAGAAAGCTCAAGAAATCCTTGACTGCTGGAAGGTATATTTTTTATAAATAATTTGAGGAACACCTAGTTATTAGTTCTTTTTTGAACGCAAGCTGGGACTGCTAGTTGCCAGTGATGAACTGCTTGTTCGACGTTCCTTTTCTAGCGCAAGCTGGGACTGCTAGTTGCCAGTGATGAACTGCTTGTTCGACGCTTCCTTTTTGAGTGCAAACTGGGACTGCTAGTTGCCAGTGATGAACTGCTTGTTCGACGCTCATATATTTTGATAAATTTGTTTCCTAGTATTAAAAAATGGTCTATTTGAACTATTTAATAACTCTTGATTCGATTCTATTTGATTGTTGTACAATGTTTCCTACTAACGTTTTCATTAAGTCTTGGACTGCAAGTAATAGGGCAAAGCCGAATGATATAGGCCCCAAGTTTGAGTTTCATCAGGTGAGATTCTGACCTGAAGATTTCATAATGTAAAAAAAAACTATGAATAATGTTATTTTCGATTAGATAGGACAGCAGGTGCTTGCGACCGGAAATAATGTTTCCATTGATAATATTGATAATCGACGTTTTACTGAAAAACATCGCCGAGACCATGAAGAGGAAGAAACTATAGCACAGAAGAAAAAGGTGAGATCGACAGGCCACTTATTGTTTTTGGATAATAATAGATAATTCAATATTTTTCTTAAAACCTTAAAATTCATCGCAGAAGAGGCAATTTACGTAAGTTTCATTATATTCGCCATTTATTATTGCTATCTGTTATTAACGCATTATCATTCATTTGATCTTTAACTCAAGCGAACTAGTTGCAGACGCTGAAAACAATCCGTTTTTTGATAGAAGGGGCCAATCTGACACTCTTTCGGATACTGAAATTGTGCCCAGTTGCCCAGCAATAATCAATGACGTTATAGAACTAGAATTGGGACCATTGCCTCGAAAAGAGTCCAGATGGTTCATAAACGACACGGACGTCTCTGAGCGATGGCATTTATTTAAGGAAAAATCATTAGAATTGGCAAATAGAGAAGGCCTTTTTGTAGAAAGCCATACACAGCAAATATTGTATGCTTTCAAATTTTTCATTTACTAAGGTAGTTACTACAGAAGCTAATTTTATAATGTATAGGTCGCTATCGCATATCCTTTTGCTTAAACCCAAACAACATTGCCCGTTAATAGTGGAAGTTTTTGGAGACGAGTTACTGGTAACGATGTACGAGGATATCATACAGAGACTTACCAAACAAGAAACAGAGTTTGATAGTGAGTTATTGATGAAGCTTATTCGCATTGTTAAGGTATATATATTTTCTTTACACTTATTTGATGTGAAAAAATTTTATGCACTCATTCTTGCTACAGCGCCTACAACGGAAGGAAATCACAAGAGACGATGCAGTTTCAGAACTGCAAATTCTTACAGTTGGCCGTTCTTGTGGAGAACGCGCAATTTTGAGGGCCATAAGAAACATGTAAGATTGTAACGAATTATAGAGCGGGGTTTATAGTAACCAATACTAAACACAGTTTTATTTCTAACTACTAGTATCGAAAGAGTTCCAAGACTCACACTTAAAGGCCCCGTTGGAGAGGTGGAACTGTGCATCACTTATATTGACACAATTCTTAGCCCGCTTTTTACGGATCCTGATCGCGGTATATTTTTGCGATGGTAAGCTCTTAAACTTGATATATTTTCACTTATACATTTCCTAATCAATAGGAATACTACAGGTCAAATAAAGAGGTTGTGGAGTCAAAGGCTAGAAAACCAGTCGGCAGAGCAAAACAACCAGATGCTATTATCAAAGAAATCGATCAGCTGTCTTGGAGCTTGAGCAAAGGACATGGTGAAGCGAAAGTTCAAGAGGAGATGAACAACCTTTACCTCCTTTGCACCGATCTCATCCGGATAGCTGTATTTAACAAAGATGCGATTGACTTTTATAACATGAATTGTATGCTCGGATTTCAAGTTGTTGGTGAGTTTCCAATACTAATTTTTTTTCAGATTACACATCACTGAACAATTGTTTTGTACTCCAGGGCATCATATCACATTCTATCTCACAACTCTTTTGTGTGATGCCTTATATGTTATGATAGAAGTTGGTCACATTGATGTGCCCATGTCACTTGAACAAGTTCCTACTTTTCTCACCAGCCTTGATACGCTTCTCATCATTTTCAATGCATATTGGTCCAATTGCACTATGTCTACCGAAAAAAAAGAACCAAGCAAGCGTAGTACTCTTGCAACACCAAGTTTTAAAGAAATGGTTTCGAAGAGTCGGGATCGGCATCGACCTTGTCAATTACGGTTTTAATTTTTTTGGTTTCTAATTAAGATTCGAAATTAATTCACAATATTAAGAGTTTCCATTTATGTAATATAATTAAGCTAGATTTACACGTGAATGAATATATCAGAAAATAAAAAAAATGTACACATTTGAACAATATAGCCCGTGACTCGCTTTTTTAAAAGTGATTGATGTTCCGCACGTGAATTTTTTACGATGCTTTTGAACATAGATATTGCTGTATTGTCCGGAGATTTGTGCTACTTTTTTGCATGTTTTGCAATACAGATGTGAATGGTGATTGCATTCGTCACAGACCTTACATTCATGCTTCCAACCTCTAAATGTGTGCCACTTTTCAATGTAATTGTGTCTTTTTTTATTTGTTAATGCGTTATTCTTATCTTTCATTGTTATATATTAATAAAAAAATATAATGTGGCTAATTTTTTTTATACAATACAAACCTGTAATGTGTGGCACCATGTGCCTGTGCCCCATCTCAAATAAATTATGCATAAGCCAGGATTATTATCGTTATTTATATCTGATATGTAGAAATTTTTTATACGTATACCGATATAAATATTTTTGAACCCTTCATTTTTTACATGGAATGAAAATTATTACATTTAATTTAATATATGGCGCAGTAGTCATGTGAGTGTGACCTTTTGAGGTCACGTCCACGTAACTTATACGATTCTGTTGGGGTTTTATCCGGAATTTGAGATATTACATAGTTAATTTGATCAACGGTTAGTTTGGCAATTGTTAATGCACTAAACGATTCTACTCGTCACAGAATTTAAATAAATAACAGATATTACAGTATAATGGATATTTGGTTACCTGTAGCACATTCAGATAAATTAGTATCTAATCTTGGTCGTATAAAGAACAATAAAGGTGTGGTTTTAAAAGGCAATATCTGCAAACGGAGTGGTTATGTAAAAACAGATATTAACATTAATGGTATTCGAAAAATTATTAGTATCCATATTTTAGTCGCTCGAGCCTTTATTCCTAATCCAGAAATTAAGCCTTATGTTAACCACATAAACGGAATTAGACATGATAATCGGGTTGATAATTTGGAATGGGTAACTCCTAAAGAAAATGCCAAACGTCGAAATACTGGTCGTAAGCACAGAAAAATCGTGCAAAAGACATTGGAAGGGAACGTTGTTCAGGTTTGGGATTCTATTCGTCTTGCAGGCAATACACTTAAAATTATAGGCACAAATATTTCGCAATGTTGCAGAGGAAAGCAAAAAACTGCTGGTGGCTGGTTATGGATGTATTATGAAGATTATATAGAAAAAGATCCCAATGAAGAATGGAAAGAGATAGAGCTTAATTCACGAAAATTCCGAGTTTCATCTTTAGGCATGGTTCAGCTTGCCAGTGGTGTTATCACCCAGGGATCATTAAACTTAGGATATCTCAAAGTTAATGGACATCTTGTTCATCGTTTAGTGGCGTTAGCATTTTGCCCCAAAGAAGAAGGCAAAGAATATGTAAATCATATTGATAATGATTCCACTAACAATAAAGCATCCAATCTTGAATGGTGTACACCAAAAGAAAATGTACAGCATGCAGTGCGCCTCATGCTTCGGAATGGCTGGATGCGTCAACGTGCTGTCAAGCAAATTTTAGAGGGTGGTTTTGCTCGAGAATTTCCATCCTTAGCTGAAGCACGACGCATAACTGGAATTGATGAGTCCAGTATTAGGAAGGTTTGCAGAGGACTTCAAACACATGCTGGGGGGTGTCGTTGGGAATATGTGAGCACAATATCGCATAATCATGAAGATTCCATAAACCATTCGGACGTTAATTTTTCAGAGATAGGAACTTTTTATTAACGTGATACTACACAACTCTTGAGATATAAGTCATAATATGCCGATGAAAGGCATGTATCATTGATTATTCATTTCCTTGGCGAAGGTTAAGAAAACTTCCATCACAATCACCTATAAACAGATAGGCATACAGTATATGGTCTACTAACAAAGCGAAACCTCACCAGTTATGAAAGCATATAAACACCTCAAGTCGTTAAACTTTATTGCTCTTAAACTCAACAAGTCCAGATTGGAAAGCAAAACCTGGCCTATTGGATGAATGGACGGAAGATAAAACAACCATATCCAACATTATCAAAGGAATACAGGAAATGACAATAAGGCTAGTGTGTTTTGACTGTTATACCCTCCATTTTTATGTTTTGCGATTTATGTGCAATGTTGATTAGTTGAATTTTTCGGTTAGTTTTTTACTTTCACATAGACGTACTTATTAATTTTACTATTCTCCCCTACATATTCCATATGTGAATTTATTAGTTTAATTATAGATAGATCATTATTTTTTTTAGAGTGTGATCTGAAATATCCAAAGCGTCCATCACATTAGATTCAATTGCAGAATAGAACTCCAATAATAACCGTTCGCAAAATAAAGAATCCTAAAACATTGACTACAAGTGTTCTGCCTCTAAGCATGGTAGTAGGTCTATATCCACTAATAATTCAGTAAAAAACTTTATAGTCGGATGTTCCTGAATGAATAAAAATTCAACTAGTTTTTTCGAATTAAATGATAGTATCAAAGCTGAAGACAATAATTAATAAACTGTTCGAAATGTGATTCATTGTTATTATTTTTGAAAAGCAATGTTATAGTTGATGGTAAATACTCCCGATTTTTAGAGCGCCACATCAATCACGTGTGGGATCATAAAAAAAATATGACAGAATTAGCATTAGGGTGGTCTGTCTTCTATGTCTTTATTTGGGCCTGTTGTAAGGTTATCTGTATTGCGTACTTTCAGACAAGCTGTCTTTTTTTCGTCTATTTCTACATTATTTGATAAATACCCTGAAAAGTCGCGATTGATAGCCAAAGATAAACTTAAGAGACGAGGGTTTCCTTCTACTCTAAGCACTACTGCATCCGGTTTCGATCTGAGAGACTTACAGTTATTAAGAGTGACCTTTCAACCAACCCCATTCAAAAGCAACGTCCTTCCTGATGTAGATGGTACGAACTATACTGTATAAAAAACCCCTTCAATGAGCCTAATGTTTACAATTTGATTATTGCTTAGACATTGGCTTTCCGGAGGAATACATTCTTCCAAATATCAGTGAGAAGGAACTCTTAAACAAAAAATTTGAAATCGAAGACTTTAAAGAAATTTCAGACGATCAGGTCCAAACATTCTTAATTGACCTACACGAAATTGTCAAGAATGTACATTCCAATGAAGGTATGGAGGAAGCTGAAACAGATACGTTGGTGAACAATCTACTAGTTCAAATTGTTGGCCTGCATCGCTATCCATTGAGAGTTAGGTAAGAATTATGATATACCTTTTGTTTATGACTAAATAATTTTTTTTTAAATTATATCCGAATTTAGACAGCACCCATGATGCAGATTATATATCGCACGCGAAGTTTACATGACAGCAAAACCTGAATTCGTTATTAACAAAAAGAATATTTCATAGAGGTCTGTGTGGTTTAATGTTGGAAGCCTTTAAATTTGTAGACTCAAATAATTATTTTTTAACAGGATAAGCATATAAAAAGTAAAAACCTTATCCCTACAAAATGTTATGGTGAGGCGCAATTGGCCGCAGAAATGCTTGCATGTGGGAACGAAAACATGCTTCGTATTGCATCTCAAACTGGAGCAATTCTGGATCAAACTATATTTGCCGTCAGGGCTGTTTCTACATATTTTACATTCTACAAGACTGTAATCCCTAAAGGATACTGGAAGGAACTTGGTTATGGATTGCCACGTAAGGGGTCAATTATAATTAAAAGATGGCCAGAAGAGATGCATCCATCAGGTGGTCTGGATATCGCGGAACCAAGTGGAAGGCAAAATGTATTGGAAGCATTTTTCAAAATGCGTAAACAGCTTTTGCAATAAAGAGAAATTAATAAGATCATTTACATACTTTTAGTACAATTAATTTTAATAAAGCATTTATATGGCACATATGCAATTGATATACAATAAAACCTCCGTAAATGCATATTCAAATCCTGCCCCAAATATATACTTGACCTTTATATCAAGTAAGACATTACTTTAAGATCGATATAATTATTTTTTTGTTCATTTTGCTACTTGTTCTTGTAAAAGTCGTAATATATATTATACAAAATTCAGAAATATGCCCGCTTATTGTAGAATATGTATAGTTTTTTAGGTAGTGACTTGAAGTGGTCCCAATACTCATAAATAACTTTTTCACTAATAAATCTATTCTTTTGAGATATTTGTATTTTTATAATATTGATCTTGAGTATAAAAAATCTTTTGAGCTCTTTCTTTTCTTTTCCGGATAGTAGTTTCAGGAGTACCATCGGGAAGTTGTTTTTCAATTTCTTTATTTACTTC